ATTCTCCCAAGGCTATATATATGGCAGCTTCACTGTTCATTTGCCACACTATGGGAACGTCAAACAACAAGACACAGTACACATACAGTTGGAACGATCACAAGCCATGACATGGGCCAAGGGAAAACCACCAATCACCAATTACATGCAGCCGCCACCAAACAACATACTTCTCGGGTATACCACAGCCTATCACTCCTCGTCGCTACGCTACGCTGCTTCACTGGTGCCCTCTGTCTAACGGATTGCTCAACAGAATGGGGGACTACTGGTGCCAGGAGATGCACTAAAAGGAGCTCACCAGACATCATGATCTCCCATCGAGCTTGTGTCATCACAATTTGCAGCACACCACAACGCTACCTATGAGTGAGTATACACATTGTTCCCCATGCTTCCCAGTCCTGTGAAATGTATATGTATTTGCTCTTGCTGGTATGCTGATAATGGATGTATATTGTTTGGTTCAGTAGTGCCAAACAAACAAGTCTGATTTAACATACATCGATGCTGCTATTGTTGGGTTCTTATATATTGTGCCACACAAATTAATGCCTTTTGTAACAATAATGCTATCTACCTATCCTGCAGCATATAGAGATATTACACATGGTACTTTGGCCAATCATCAGTATTTCGCCACTGCATGTAGCCAAGCATTGTCACAAAATATAACAAAGCAAATAGTTATTATTAATACTATTAGGATTGAGTACAAAATCAGAATACGAAACTGCATGCCAAAAGCTCCAATTTGAGATGCAGAGGAGAGAAAATACCAGGATTATGGTTATCTGCATGCGAATATGCAGCAGCAGTGAGTGTGATATCTTAACAGCTGCTTAATAGAGATGCTATCTATGCTGTGCGCCTACCGGATACAGGATATTTGCCGAGTGTCAGAGGCACTCGGCGAAGTCCCAAAAACACTCGGCAAACGTGTTAATGGCAAACGCTAGTTTGCCGAGTGTTTTCTGTCGGGCACTCGGCAAAGAAGTTGCCGAGTGCCCAAAAAATACTCGGCAAACTTTTTTTTTTCAAAAATAAAATAAAAAAAAGCACGCCGGGGAAGAAGGGAGGGCTCCACCACGCCACACCACCACCATCCCCGCCACCACCACCACGCCGGGGAAGAAGGGAGGGCCCCACCACACCGCACCACCACCACGCCACCAGCAAAGCCGCCTCCTCGAGCCGCTCGCCACAGCGACGTCGTCATCCGCGACCATCGCGGGCTGCTACTCTGCCACGCCGCTGAGCTGCGGCGCCCTCGCCGCGGCCACCTCTGTTCGCCGTCACCAGGAAGCCGCGGTGTCGAGCCTCCACCGCCATGCCATCCACCTCGACGAGCCTCGCCCAAGCCTATCCTCGCCAGCGTTGTGCGTCGCCCGTTCCTTCCTCGTGGAGCTGCGAACGCCGACGAGCACGCCACCGGATCCGCCGCTCCTCCCTCCGCCACCACCACCACGCATGTCACCGCCAGATCTGGAGAGGGAGGGCCGAGAGGGGGTGGCGCCGCCGGATCTGGAGAGGGAGGGCCGGGAGGGGGCCGCACCGGCGAGGGAGGACGGGAGGGCGGGCCGCGCCGGGGAGGGAGGAGGGGAGGGCGGGCCGCTCCGGCGAGGGAGGAGGGGAGGGCAGGCCATGCCAGCGAGGGAGGAGGGGAGGGTGGGCCACGCCGGCGAGGGAGGAGGGGAGGGCAGGCCGCGCCGGCGCCGGGGAGGGAGGAGGGGAGGGCGGGGCCACGCCGGCGCCGAGAGGGAGGAGGGGGCGGCGCGTGCACGTGCGCAGAGAAGGGGAGGGGGAGCTGGGGGCGGGAGGAGAGAGAAGGGGTGGGGACGGGAGGGCGGGTGGGGTGGTGGGCGCGGTTAGGTTAAGTAGATATTTTTGTTGTATGTCGAGTGTCCCAGATGGGGCACTCGGCAAAGTTTTTTTTTAATTTTTTTCTTCTCCTACTTTTTTTTGCCAAGTGTTTTAGATCTGAGCACTCGGCAAAGTTTTTGTTCATTTTTTTTCTTCTCCTTTTTCAGAAAAAAGATTTTATTTTTGTTTACTGAGTGTATTTTTTAACACTCGGCAAACAACCTGTTTGCCAAGTGTTTTTGTTTTGACACTCGGCAAAACGTCCTGTTTGCCGAGTGTTTTTTTTGTTGAGTGTTTTTAGCGCGGCACTCGGCAAATAACTTATTCGCCGAGTGCCCGATGGAATACACTCGGCAAACATAAAAACACTCGGCAAATTTGAGGATTCCGGTGGTCGGAGGTTCAAAATTCTTGACAGCAAGCATTTTTGTTGGTTGGCACAGACACGGTGTTGTATATACATGATGCAAAAAAATTGACATTGGGTTTTTGTAATCACGATATTAGAATTCCACCAGCAGTGTAGTGCAACACTGTATACAGAAAATCGAAGGGAGAAAGGAAAACTCTAAAGCAAAAAGGACATAATAGAATAGAATGAAACCGTGCAGAGTGAGTTGTTGGGTTGCCAAGTCATTCATGCATGGCCACCTGTTCATTACCTACTAAATTTTGACCCTGTTTCAACGCCCAAAATGTGTTGCAATAGGCCCGAAATAGTTGCAACATCAGAAATAGCAACACTTTTTTTCGTTGGGAGGCGTTGCAGGCGCTTGCGTGGGTAAAGCTTTGGACAACGCTTTTCTGCTTAGCGTTGCAAAATGTGTTTTAGATTTGCAACACCTAGGCGTTGCAACATAAGATTTTGCTATGGTTGTAGGTGTGGCAACAACAGCTAATGCAACGCCTTAGGCGTTGTTGGACCTTGCAATGGCAACTTGCCTATGTCGTAGCAAATGGTGCACTAGCAACGACAAACGTGTGTTGCAAGACAATGTATTGCCACGCATAATGCGAGTGGCAACAAGGATTATCTCGCAGCACCAAGAAGTGATGGCAACATGTGCAATTGCAACGTCCAAGGTTTGGTTTCTATAAGGTGCAGTCTCTATTACATCGCATATCGAGTGTGGAACAAAACCTATGTGGCAACACCAAGAAGTGGTGGCAACATGTGCAATTGCCACGTTCACATTATCGTTGCTATAAGGTCCAGCCTCTATTGCATTGCATAACGAGTGAGGCAACAAAACCTATGTGGCAACAACAAGAAGTGGTGGCAACATGTGCAATTGCCACGTTCACATTGTCATTGCTATAAGGTGTAGCCTTTATTGCTACGCAGATTGTTCGTTGCTATAGGATATATTGCTACAGAAAATGTGGTTGTCAATAACCACTTTTACAATTCTTTTGGTTTGGTGCCACCGGATAATATTACAGCACTATTATTTAATTAGAAACTCAATAGACATCAACAAAGCATTTGAATAATGCCATTAAACCAAAATATTAACTTGTTTAATTTGTTCACATCCGGAATTAAACGATCCAAAAATTCAAACTCATGCTACACACACATTATTGAAACCATCCCTCAATAAAGTAATTCGACACATTTATGTCTAAACAACATCTAAAGTGGTTAGACACCACTAAAGGTCGAAGCGAAGCTTGGATTGAATTGACCATCCCATCACTTGAGCGCTCCACTCAAACTCTATCTTCCTGCTCAATAAAATCATTGACATTGACATATGCATCAGTTGTTCAGTACATCACGATAGTAAACTAAACCACAATATGATAAGGCTATGTAATAAATTTTCAGCAATTAGTTAAACTGAAATTGGAGGTGTTGACAACAAAAGCATGGACTAAATCGTTTCAACTTTAAGCAATAAAGAAATATGAGGTGTTCACAACAATAACACAGTCACAACGATTAAGAACGTGTTCACAAACAAAGAAAATAAAAAGGCACAAGTTATCCAGAACCATTGATAATGTTTTAAAGGCACATTTCGTGTGCCTCTCTCTAGCATGATCTGCCTGCCCAACTAACATGTATATGTTTGTGCTTCGTTAAAGTGACTAACAAGCGGCCCTAATATTCTGGTGGTAAAGGATTGTAAGTCTACGTTCCTTAGGAGAGTTTCTCCAGATAATGTTCTTTTAATGGATACTAGATCTTACTGCCAGCAACAGGTAGCTTTTGTGGTCTTCAAAGTTTTGTATGGGGAAGGTGTTTGCAGGTATCCCTTTCCCTTGCTATCTGTTAGTGTGAGCTCAATCTCTAGCATGCGCTAACGAACGGAGGAATAAGACGAGTAGAGGTTGGTCTTTATGTACTCTCTTATTTTTCTTAGAGGCTGTTTTGTGCCAAGTTATCATTTTATACTCTCTATTATATATTGTTTCTCTTGATGAATATCAAATATGAGGCACCTTTTGAGTATCTTTATTAAAAAAACTTGAAGGAAAAAATCACCTTTAATAACTCCTACTGAATCAAAGACACAAAGTACTTCACCCGTGCTGAACTGAACTGGTTTATTATTACTAGCCTAACACTGATGGCAAAGTATTCCTATTGGTGTGGAACCAACCGAAAGAAAAATTACAAATCACAAACCACACAGAGCAATGACAAAATTCATGTGTAGAAATGCCATAATGATTTTGACCTGACACTCTTTTCTTATCTACTACTGAATTATTGTTGCTGTCAAGCTTTCATACTTCACTACAGTGCGGTTTCTATCCATAGCTGTGTCATTTGAATAGTCCAACGTTTGGTCATGTCATGTGCCATCCTTTTCTTGCATGTCACATTGATGGTTGTCCCACATTTATTTCCCAGACAGAGATGCTATCTATAATACTTTTCAAAGATAAAATATTTTCAGTCATTTGAATAGAAAAAAATGTAGTAATCATTTAAAATTTTGACCAGGTTCCTGTTGATGATTGGGCTACTACTGCAGATATTCATGCCTTATTTAACGACTTCCACCCCCACAGGATGGAAGGCGCACCAGGCAGCCACGGCAAAGTGCAGACAAACCACAATACAACCATCACCTTGCTGAAGAATGAAGATCCATAAGATGATTCCCAGCCTATGTACATGGCAGATCTCCATGCTCACTCTTATCACCAATATCCTCTTTGTTACATCCACCTCTCCATCTCCTAACCCTAGCCACCATGATTTCTTGGCGCTCTTATCCCTCAAATCCCACATAACAAGTGATGCACTGTCGTCATGGGATGCAGCAAGCAACGACACCAGCAAACCAGTTCCTAATTTCTGCAAATGGACTGGTGTGACCTGCGGCGACCGTCGCCACCCTGGCCATGTCACTGCCATAGATCTGCATGGCTATGGCCTTGGAGGCACCATCTCTCAAGACATCGGCAACCTCACATACCTCCACTTCATTGATCTGTCGTCCAATAATCTGGTAGGTGATATTCCCTCCAGCCTTGGCAATTGCAGAAGACTTCGTACTATGAATTTGAGCAGTAACCACTTGTCTGGTTCTGTCCCTACTCCTCTGGGTCACCTATCAAAGCTCAAAATTTTCAATGTCAACTACAACAATCTGACTGGCGAAATTCCCACGACACTATTTAATGTCACAACGCTAATGTTCCTTAGAATTGGGGGAAACTCCTTTCAGGGCCAAATCCCCAGCTGGTTGAGCAACCTAACATCATTGACTGATTTGTATCTTGTGAATAACAACTTCAGTGGCAACATCCCTGCAGATTTATGTAAGTTAAGTAACCTCACGGGGTTTGATGTAATGAATAACAAGCTTGACGGCCCTGTTCCTCCATCACTCTTCAATATTTCGTCCATCACTATCTTAGGTCTTGCCAAGAACCAGCTTACAGGATCACTGCCACTTGATATTGGCTTTAAGCTTCCCAAGCTATATGCTTTGGTCACATATAACAATTACTTTGAGGGTCCAATACCAGCCTCCTTATCAAATGCATCTGAACTCCAATATCTGATTCTTCGTGGAAACCAATATCATGGTTTTATCCCACGGGAGATTGGTATTCATGGTAAATTGAAGTTTTTTTCGGTAGGCCACAATGAACTACAAACCACAAAGCCTACGGATTGGGAGTTTATCACATCCATAACCAACTGTAGCAACTTGAAAAGAATAGACCTCGAACAAAACAACTTTTCAGGTGTTATGCCGGTTAGTATCGCCAACCTATCTCGAAAACTCGAGTGGCTTACAATTGGCACAAATCACATAGCCGGGACCATATCTTGGGTAGGGATGTTCCAAAACCTTACAAAGCTTACCCTTGAGGATAACCTATTTACAGGCACCTTACCTATATAGATATTGGCAAGCTCTCTAGTCTCGAGATTCTTTATGAGTCATAATGGATTTGAAGGGCAGATTCCACAATCAATAGGCAATCTCACAGTACTGGATAAGCTTTCTCTATCTAATAACTTTATGAACAACAGCATTCCGCCAAGCCTTGGAAAATTATCGAATATTGAATCCATGGATCTTTCTTGTAACCTGTTGATGGCCAAATCCCGGATGGGTAACAGATGACTATGGTAATGACGATTTCCCTGAGGATTACTAGACTTGTGGTCAACCAGTTGACGTCCCTGTGATATGAAGCTTCCGCGAGAGATCTTTTCTTATACTTCCGCTCTATTTATGTAAAGACTCTATCATATTATTCATGATGTAATAAACACTTGTGATGATACTATTCATAATTTGTCGGCTTATGTGTGTGACTGATCTCTGGGTGCACATAAGATTTTGCATCCCATTTTAACCTTAAAATCGGGTGTGACATGCTTCTTCCTTTCCTCTTCTCGTCTGTAGTGCTATGAAAAATCTGCTATACATAATTTGGAAAATTAGAAGCAAGCACAATGGCAACGTAGTTTTTATGCTACAATAAAAAGGGAGAAGGGTATGCTACAATACCTTCATTATCACATAAGAAATCTCCAATTGGTTCATATTCCAAATCTTCTTCAATTTGTTCACAATCCAAATCCTCTTCTTCAATTTGTTCATTCACATTCATGCACGGTTTGTTTGTGGCCTAGGGCGCAAATTATGATCATGGGTTTCTCCATCATTTGTCTTATGAGTTCTCTACAAGGAAGTAACATGATTTATGTAAATAGTTCTTATTAAATAAGCAAAGACATTGCAACAGAACAATTTATATAAGAGATGACCTTTGTTCTTTTCTTAGCTTGAGGTTGAGGATTAGGCAGAGTAGGGATGTTTAAGGAAATAAACTTCTCTTGGATCTGTGCAATGTTTTGAAGCCTCAGCAGCTCACACTTGGTAAGGGGGGCATCCTTACTGTTTCCTCTTCCGCTTGCCATTTGTTTTCCTGAAAAAAGGCCCAACAATTAGTTCTATACAAAGGATCAATAAAAAGATCAATAACATAATTATAGCAGCAACACCATTTAAACAAAACTTACTTTCTAAATTGTTTCTTAGTTTTTTTGGTATCAACAATTGTACCATCTATGTCAGTTCTAACTGAAGGGACCACCCCATTTACAATATCCACAGTCACATCTGCACTTAGATCATGCAATGGCCATACTGATCCAATATCATTATCTGTGTGCTCATTCTCTAAATTATCTAAGTCATACACATCTCTTGGTTTTGACTGAACAACAGCGGACCAATCATTATCATCTGGAACATAGTACACTTGAATTACTTGTGATGCTAGAATGAAAGGCTCATCAGATATCTTTTCTCCTGTATTGAATAAGTGCTTAAAGTTAACAAATGTGATCCCAAATTTATCAGTTTTTACCCATTTGTCCTGCACATGGTTGTCAACCCAATCACACTTGAAAAGCACAACACTTCCTTTATGGCTATAATTTAGTTCAAGAATCTCGTAAATAATCCCATAATAGATATTGTTTCTTATTATAACATCATTGTTATTGCCCCCCTCAAAGGTTGTTGCCTCAGCAACTACAGCAACCCCACTATTTTGAATAGGTCTTCCCTCATCATAGGATTCTGTGGAAACAGAACCCATTAATATTGTAGCTGATGTACTTGCGTGCATTCATCATTGGCCCCCTTGGCCAAAATTTTGATCTCCTCTATTGCTTCCTCACATATTTCTTCCACCCGTGATTATGATAGACTACTATTATTAAAGTAAATGTGTCATTTGTCTCAATATCAAGGGCTAAGTTTTACTTTCACTTACAAGCAACCTAAACCACTCATGAAAGGATTCATGATGCATGCGGTTGATCTCCCATTTATTTCAAAAGCCAATAGAGGAAAGGTACTGAGCATGCTTACTGCAAAGGTTATTTGACTTTAAGATTGGTTACAAAATTGATGATATGATGTAAGTGATTTGGATTACTTACTCCAAGTATGGTACTATGTTGCCATAGTTGAACAAAACATATGTATGAGCTTGCATCCAAGTCTTGTGGTCTAAACTAAATGTGCATTTTCCAGTCAATCCTAGACCAATGCTATGGAAGAAAGGAGTTGTACTATCATCTTCATCTTTTCTAATTTGGTGGTACAATTGTGTGTCACCATGTAGATAGCGAGAACAAAGTGTAAGGCACTCGGTGAAATTAGACCACTCCATAATTGATCCCTCAGGATGACTTTTTGTATGTATAGAACCCTTCAATCTCATGAGAAACCTGTATACATAAATAATAGGCACATTGATAATGTTATACATGGAATAGGTACACATTTGTATCCACTAAGATGCAATACAGGCTATGATAGTTACCTCTCTACAGGCCACATGCTGCGAAAATGGACTGGACCAGCTATTTGAGCTTGGGTAGGAAGATGTACCATCAAGTGTACCATAATGCCAAAAAAAAGATGGAAGGAATATAGTCTCAAGAAGGCTCAAGGTTTCAGCTATTTCAGCCTGCAGACTTTCCATATCACTTATTGGAATGATAGGGGCACAAAGTTTCTTGAAGAAATTACATATACGAATCACTGAAGCACTGACTATTTCTGGTAATATTTTTCTCACAGCAATTGGTAGCAAGTGTTGCAGAATAATGTAGCTCTCATGACTCTTGAGCTAAAATATCTTCCTCTCATTCACATGTACATTATGTCTTATATTAGATGCATAACCATCAGGAAACTTCACCCCTTTTAGTACTTGGCAAAATAATTTCATCTCATCAGGACTCATTGAGTATGGTGCAGGTGGTAAATAAAATTGGTCCTCTACTTCAAATGGGTGAAGATCACTTCTAATACCTTGAGCTTGAAAGTCTAAGCAAGAGTTCAGGTTATCCTTTGATTTTCCAATAGTGCCCATGAATGTGTTCAGTAAGCTTTCATAGACATTTTTGCCTATGTGCATGAAGTCAAAATTATGTCTCAACATCAAATCTTTCCAATATGGAAGTTTGAACCAAATAGATCTTCTCTTGAAAATGACTAATGGTTCACCTTCCTTGTGTTTCTTGCATGTTGGTTTCTTTCCGGATGGATCCTTGCCAAAACTAGTGCTAAGATCTTTAGTGCACTCCAAAATTTCCTCCCCATTAAGTGGTGCAGTTGCTGGCCGAAACTCAGTTCTACCACCAAATTTATCGGCATCACACCTAAATTTGTAATTTTCATCCAAGAATCTTTGATGACCCATATAACAAGTCTTGGTACCATTACCAAGTCTAAACAAATCTATAAAGAAGTGGCAATTAGGACATGCTACTTCACCAGATGTGACATATCCCGACACATATCCTAGACCAGGGAAATCGGTAATAGTCCACAATATTGCTGCCCATGAATTGGAAGTACTCACCCCTCGAGGCATCATAAGTTCTAACACCATTTTCAAACATATCTAACAAGTCATTAACAAGTGGCTCACAATAGAGATTCATATCACTACCGGACCATCTTTACGGTGTCGGAAAAAGACAAAATGAAATTTGATTGCTTCATGCACATTGAAGGTGGAAAATTTAAGGGAATACAGATACTAAGCCAAATGTTGTAGCTAACATTCTGCATTCTATATGGATTAAAACCATCGGTGGCGAATGCTAGACGGATATTCCGACTATCTGCAGCGAACTGTGGATGTTTCTTATCAAAGTCATCCCATAGAGGTGAATCTACAGGATGTCTTAGGAGACCATCTTTTTTCGGTCTTCATCATGCCATCTTGTTAGACTTGCTGTTTTAGGACAAAAATAACCTTTGGAGACATTTCTTTATTGAAAAGTAGCGTAGAACCTTCTTAGGAACCTTATATATATGTTTCCCATCTAGAGACTTTCTACTGACTTCCACCGTGAAACCTTACACTTTGGACATGCATCCAAATCTACGTTCCCCTTCCAATAGAGAATGCAATTATTTTTCATAGGCATGAATACTAATATACCCAATTTCTATGGTTTTCACCAATTTCTTAGCCTCATGAAAGGTTTTAGCTAGTGTTGAACCCTCAGGGAGCGCAACATTAAGTAGATCTAGTAGCAGGTTGAAAGATTTGTCAGACCATCCTCCAAAGAGTTTGATGTGGAGTAATCTAATAATAAATCGAAGTTGTGTATATTTCTTGCAAATAGGGTACAATTCTTTGCTGTTTTCTATGACTAACTTCTGAATGGCAACTAGCTCCTCACAAGGATCTGGAATAGAACTATTTTCCTCATAATCTCCCTATCATCTAAGCCAGCAGCTAAGTCTCTAAGCAAATCAGATATGTCATCATGTACATTGGACTCGTCCACAACCTCAACATCATCACCATCAAAGTCTCCATGATTCACACAAGGGGTAGGTTCTCAATGTAAATTCCATGTTCTATACCCTTTTAGAAACCCATCACATATCAAATGTTCACGGACCTCACTAGCCTCTTTCCAAAAAGAGTTGACACACTTTCTACATGGGCATAATATCTTTCTACCAACAGCTGAGTTACTAAATGCAAAAGCTAACAAATTGTTCACTCCTTGCAAATATGTCTTGCCGTGCCTACATGAAACCTTTATGTTAAAAGCCATTTTACATAGCTACATATACCACTTTCAGTATTTGTGAAGCTATTATTTTTTACCTAGCATCATCATCAGTCCAAGATTTATCCATCACTGTTATAAGGGCGAGAACAAAAAGCTGTCCAAATTATATAATCCATCTATGAAATTTGGGGTACCACAAAATAATGCATACAGACTAGAGAGGGGAGAGCATCACCTGGTCCTCTTGCTTTAAATCCACACACACAAATGACTTCTTCCAGCTCCTGCCCACCACACAACAATGACTCTGCTTGTCAGGACACCAGATCTTGA